GGTGATGGTAATGGTGGTGATGGTGGTGATGGTGATGGTGGTGATGGTGATGGTGGTAATTGTAACGATGGTGGTTTTCTCCCTAATCACACAATACCACATAGCCCACAATTGTGAAAAGCATTTTGACTAATTAGATATTTAGCCATTTTTGGTATTTCTTCACTCTAAAAAGTTATTTTAACCATCTTTTACTGATATGCTGTGAGCAAGTCACCCTAAAGCTTAGAGCTTGGAACAGTGCTTGTTTACTCTCATTCACACTTCTTGTGTTGGCCAGGATTGCAGTCCAGTCTGGGCTCAGCTTGACCCTCCTCCATGTGTCACACCAGATGCAGGCCTGCCCCATTCCCTCACCCTCCGTGGACTTTTCGGCCACCGGGGGCATGTTCCCACATGGCTGTGCGTGAATCACAATAAACCCAACCACACAAAGGCGTTCAAGCCTTAGTTTATGACCTGTCTGCCCACATCTACTTGTCAGAGCTCGTCACGTGCTCAAAGCGCATCACAGGCCAGGGAGAGGTGTGCTGCCCACCAGATACTGAGCCCTACTTGTGGTCAGGACGACCCGCTGCCTGGACCGCAGTCACGCACACAGTGTCCTCTGTACCTCTTGTTAGCAGTGCTCCACATCCAGCGGTGCAGCTGGACAGGTGCGGTGTTAGTGTGCAGCCTCGGAGAGTGAGAGCACGGACCTCGCTGGACAACAGCACCATCTGCCTCACCATTTGCCCATGGTGTGTGACCTGTTTGGCATAAAACAGGCGTTCAATTGATGGCATTAGGAACTCACATTCAGGTGTCAGGACTTTCGTATCACGCGGTTCGGACTCTCCCCATCAGAAAAGAATCAAGGACAAGGGAAACCTGAATCCGAAACTCCAAGCCCCACACATCGGGGTAAATCTGGCAGGTCGTTCCTACAGAAGGAATCTCCCTCAGGATGGAAATATGGGAATTTTATTGTGAGGAATTGACTTCATTGTACGAAAGGAATAGAAAGCCAGGGCACGGCGGGTAGGAGCCGTTTTCCTCCAGTCGCAAGCAGATGGATGGACTCCCCATGGGCCACCCTGCTGCAGTCAGCCCTCGGGGTGGCTCTGTCACCCTACAGTGTGGCTGGCTCCAGCGTGTGGTCCCCAGGCTCGGCGGGGGGCGGAGGGCACAGGCCAAGGCTTATGCCCGCCGAATGTGGCACGACTGATGTCTCTCAGTGTCCCTGAGCCCATCCGGTAGACTTCCCATAAGTGTCCCTCCACTGACAACTGTCCCCGGCGTCCCTGGTGTCAGACTTGGAGCCAGGCCTTTGCCGCCAGGGAGGACACGGTGGTTCTGTTGGAAGAGCCAAGGCAAAGGCGTCCCTGGCGGGCAGCTGCACTTCCCCCACCACCCTCTGCTATTTAATGGTCCGCCCCTAATAATTTTTACTCCATTTATATATTTTATGTGAAATAAATACCTTCTCTTTGGCCTATTTTCTGTGGCTGTCTGGAGGTTAAGTACTGATAAAGCTGACAACTTAATTCAATTCGTATGTGTTCCCCAGCAGAAAGGCTTTATGCATCTTGTTATTAATTTTTTAACTTCAGAACAAATGCTTTGTTTCCTTGAATTAAAGTGGAAATTATGCTCAGTGAATATATTGTTTCTTTGTGGAAAAAGATGGAATTTTTATATTCCCTACCGGCCTGACTTTTTATCGCTTTTCAATTAACCGTGGCTACTGGAGTTAAGAGGAAAGGTGCCTTTTTATTGCTTCTAAGGTCTGGTAAGTGTGCCTCGGGGTAAGGGTCTGAAGGTTATAGTTTCAAGCTCCATATTCATGATTCATGAAGCTCAGTTATATTACGTAAAATAGGGCAAGCCTTTTACTTTCTCATCGAAGAAAATGATCTTTCTAATTTGGCTAATAACTTTATTAACTGAGGCTTGTTCTGATAAAAGAAACGTATTTCTAAAAAGTACAATAAAATAAATAATTTAAATATGTTTTAAGATGGGGTCGGTTTGGTTGGATAGGCGATTTTTCTTTCAACGTTGGGAGAAATAGCACAGTGGGATTCAGAGCCTGGACACGGTGATGACACTGTGGGGCGTGTAGAGTTGCTGGGTCGCTGTATCGTACGCCTGAAGGAATATGGCCCTGCATGTTATTATACCAGAATAAAAAATTTAAAAGGAAAAAGTATTTCTGGCTGCTGGTGCAAGCTTCGATGCAAGCACGGCAGGTGGAAGCTGGAATGGCTTCGGCACCAGACAGAGTCCCTCCCGCGTCCCATCAGAACAGTCTCTGCACACAGAAGCTTCCGGACGTTCCGACACCGTGACTGCACCCTCCTTCTCAGCTGGGGGAAAGGGCATAAAGTGGAAGCTGGACGTGCCCGTTGCCATCATCAGGGCTGCTCCGGAAGGCGGCTCTTCTGGAAGCCCGGCTCACGCACCAGCTCTTACGGACAAGCCCGAGACACCGCAGCCTGGTGTGGGAGCCCCTCCCGAGCTCACCGCGGGTGTTCTGGGAGGTCGTCCGAGCAGAGCCGGTCCTCAAAGCCCCCCTCAAAGCACCCGTGAGTCCCATGGAAGAGGAGTACAGAACTGCCATGTGGGTGATGAAGACGGGGCCGGGGTCCCACCAGCTTCTTCAGTACTAAGTGAGAGGCTGTCCTCCACGCCGTCCCCAACTACGGCATTCGCTGTGGTTATTTTTGATTTTTCCAAGTATATTTGCCTGGAAAAGAGGTTTATGGAGTGAAACACGTAGAAATAAATCGTATCCCGTTACTAATTACCATTATCAGGATATATTCCAGAGAAAGGAAAATGGTAATAACAGAAGGTTGGGAGCAGGGGGAGGACACGGCTCCACTGGCCGCTGAAGTGCCCGCCCAGCCAGAGGGGGGCGGCGGCTTCCTGCCACGGGTCACCCCTCCGCCGGTCACCCCACATTGTCATGGTCACATCCTGCCGTGTCACTCCCG